CATCATGAGGATGTGCAAGGCACTACGGGATTAGGAGAAGCTACAGTATATTACATCAGAAGGATGTAAATATGACATGCATAATCCATTACAGAGAGCAGTAGAATAGAGTCTAGACTTTACATCTTTACACTTGCTGAAAGGCTGATTTTATAATTGTGATCACATCTATTTTAATGGATCTATCAGAGACAGAGAAAACACAGAGTCAATAAAGTTGCATTTTCTCCTGATCATTTACAGTCTTTCTGCATAAATACATAAATCTACACATCATTAGCAGACATGTCTCAGGACTCTGTAAATACACACACCTACATGCAGCTCTGACACTTGGAAATCTTTGCAGGACGTCCACGCTGTGGAGCCCCGGCGAACCTTTGCAGGTCTCACTGGGACTAGTTGAAATGACCGAACCCGTGGGACAAACAAGCATGATTTCATGCTTTTACCAGAAGCCTGGACGTCTTTGATCGTCTGCTTTCAAAGCCTGGCTCACATAGCTCTTCGTCTGCGTCTTGGCGAAGGCCTGAGGAGAGCTGCCAAACACACGAGCCACTGAACTGCCGGGGGATTTGAATAAATGTTTCTGGAATTGCCGCTTCCTTGTTAAAAGAATTAAAAGGAGATGATATGGTAGCTCTGCTTGTTTTGGATGTATGATGCAGGGAGAGAAACAAGGGCCAAAGATAAAAAAGGTTTAGAGGCGCTTGGTTATGTAAATTAAAAGGCAATTAATGTTGCTGGATGAAAACAGTGGATCTGGATCGAACACTCTGCCTTTTCACTGATGCTCATTTATTTATGAAATCAAAGGGTGCAACATAGATCTTTCTTCATAGGTCATTACAGACTCAGATCATAATGAGCATGCTAGATTTATCTTCCAGTTAGACAAAGAAAAAAAACAAAATTTGCCACCAGGGCTGCACTGTAGCTATACCACCCAGGTTTTAGCAACCTGGGTGTTGGTCGATATCTTATAGGCTGATTACATTATTTTTAATTTTTGGCAGCGTGGAGAAAAAATGAATGAACTGCATTTATTGTAGATTTTAAAATCTAAAAACAGAAGAGGTGATAGATTAGTTTAGGAAATAAAATACTGTATATCATAATACATCTTTTTATTCATCTTTTGTAGCCTAATCTAAACAGCGTTCTCAGTCACTAAATCCATCCATCAAGACAAACACACATTTACTGCGTCTTAGAGAGGAAAATAAGTCACCCAGAGGTCTACAGCAGTAAATCTTCTTCTCATTTCTTTCAAATATATTTGGACTTTTCTCTTTTTTTTTTTTGTCTGTTAAATTCAAATGTTGACGGAATAGGAAAACATTTTGTGGATCATTGTGGACATTCCACTTATTTCCAACACAAAAGCCATGTCCCCAAGGGGGGAAAAAGCTGATTTTTGAGTAAGTGGTTAAGATTTGGGTAAGCATGAAACATATTCTAATATTATTACACAGCATTATTATCGGGCAATAAACACATTTTGAGGGGTCAGAAAGGTCAGAAATTCTATTACATCCATTTGGACTAAAATATCTGGATGTGTCTGTGAGATCTCCCCTCAGGCACCAATCAAGATAACAGATGCTGGAAACCAAGGACTTTTTTTTTTTTTTTTTCTTTTTAAAGCAGCTTGAATGTCTGAAGAAGACTGAGGGGGTTGATGTGTGATGCATTATTGAGCAAAGTGCAAGAGATTCTTCTTAAGTTTCAAATATAAAAGAGTTGCGGCTTTCAAGAGTTAGAGCTGTCTGAATTTAAATGACTGTGGGGTCTTTTTTATTCCACTAATGCGTCCCATCTTCTGATGCTAACGACACTTCTAGTCAGGTTGTGCTGGTTCACAGCATAATCAGAACTACAGGACAGAAAAAACCTGCACAAAACTGTTTCTTCAGCAAATGAAATCGCTCAAATAAATAAATAAATTTGCGCCAGATGGGAACAGAGATCCTGCCTCCCATCAGCCCTTGTCATTAGCCTGCTGGGCTAATTACACAGTGTAGACGACATGTATAGAGCCTAATAATACACAGGGGTGACAAGATAGCCTGTTAAACACACAGCTCAAACCAACACAGTTGCGACTGTCACTGGTTTCTGCTCTGGCTAACCAGAGCAATTTAACACAGCTGGTCGAACGTGGAAAAAGGAAAAAAAACAAACAAACACATGCATACACCGCCTCGGTTATGTTCACTGCTAATGTGTTTCCAAGGTGATCATTTGTCGAACGTATCCCATGAATTAAATATCAGTTTATGTAACTATAGCCTATACCGTGACTTAATTAGTATCTCAATCACTTCTTTAAGTTTTATTTTTTATTTTATTTTATTATTTTTATCCCCTCCTTAATGGTTTCTTGGAACTTTGGGGTTCTTTTTTTGCATCACTTTGTATGTGTTATTTTCCAATGCATAATAGTAATAGCACATAAACCTAATTTCTATGAGACGAGGTTGTCAAGACATCTGACCAAGAAATAAATCACACAGAGTAGAATTGCTGACTAAATTAGAGAAACTGTATATAGGCCTATACCCAGCAGTGTTCTTCTGAAAGAAGACTCAAGTGACTACAGGTGAATTTTCATTTTTAGCTGCTACATCAAGACAAGGTGCTGGAGCCTGTCTACACATCAAAATCTAGATTCTTTAAATATGCTCACAAACTCCAGCACAAAAATACAGTTGATTAAAAAAAAACTGAACCGCAGCACGTGTAGAAAACTGCTCAAACCTGGGCAAGCTGTGCATACATCTGCAGTGGTTAAACTCTTGTGTTTGAAGTTAAACCCTGGGCAGATAGGGTTTCACTATCCTCAAATAGATTCATATCACAAAAAAAAAAAACACACACACACACACAAAAAAAAACGTGTTTCAGTATCAGGATGTTTGCTCTTTGATTTTGTTTCCCCTTTCAGCACCGCTTCCTGCTTCCTTGTCATTATTACTCATTAAAAATACAGCAGTTATAGCTGGTGTACACGAGGTGCCTGCAGCTACAATCACAACACATGCCGGCATGATGGATATCCTGTCAGAGGCAGACTGGCATTTGTTCTCAATCACAGAAGCAATGGCAGACTGCTGTAAGCTTAAATCAAAGTGATGGAAACTGTAAAACATCAGTGTGGTAATAGTACGAGAGCATAGCTTCTTTGTGTCTGTTTATGCTGCTGCTGCGACTGATGGAGCACTGAGATTTATGATGCAGGCTTATAATTTTAGGCCCAACTAGAACAGCCCTGGATGTTTTTAAACTTTCCTAAACCTCCCTTACTTTTCGCTACTCTACAAAACACACGATTAAACAGAGCAAGGAGATGAAAGAAGTGAGCTAGAGAAGTGAATTCAGGTCCAGGTTCAAAAGTTCAAATGTGGGTGTAAAAGGGAAACAAGATCACATGAGATCTCAGTGCCACACGGGAGTTGTAGCTGTCAAAGCCTCATTCCGCAGTCGCAAGTTTTATCTTTGCTGACGAATGAGATGTTCACATTTTACGATTCAGTGCAGATAGTATCTAAAATCAGGACCAAGTCTGTTGCACAAAGATGCTCACAGATACAAGAATTTAAGTTCTCTCAGTAGTTGTGTGCTTATGGTGAAGTGTAAATAAAGATGGACGTAGATGCAGATGCAGTGTTATGTGCCGCATGCTGGTCAACAGCAGCCGGACAAACACATTTTGTTTAGGATATGATCCTAAAAAACTGCAAAGACGTGTTTCACCTTTTCAGAGAGTCAAATGAACGAAAATGCACTGACACTAGTAAAACAGGAATCTACAAGAAGACAACTAGTAGAGAACTGAAGTTCTGCTCTTTCTAGAAACAACACACATGACCTCCAGGGGCTTTTAGGCAGGAAGTCTTCTCTTTAAGGCCTCTGAGTTCATTAGAGATAGTTTTGAAGTTTCGATCGGTAACAAACAAACCTTGAAAAATTGGCCTAGCATTTAGCTGGTTATCAACGTACTCTTTCACCAATGTGAAAGGTTCTTGTTATGCTTTGCCAGAATATTCAACTGCAGAATCATACTTTATATTCCACACACTGAGGCCTTTCACAAGTGCATATACTTACAGCACAGTGGGCTGCAATAAAAATGGAATTCCTAACAATCTGTGAGGCTAGATTTATGCGTATTTGTCACGTTGCTGGGGTGCAGGAAGTGATTTGTAGAGCTAAGCATCAGATCTCATACCACTGACGGCCAGTGCAGCACCACAACACTAGATGCATGCGTCATAATTTATAGGGCTGCTTTTTTGCTGTAATTTTGTACCCCAGAGTAAACACATTCTTTTATTTGCTTTGTGATACAGTGGCATGTGGGACTGCAGTGAAAAACTCTTCAACAGATCAAAACACACACAATATGGCCAGACATTGGGAACCAAATCATAGCAATGGAAGTTACGTGCATGGGCAAAAACAAATCCACTTTTGCTGAGGAAGACAGAAGCTCAAATATAAGCTCAACCTCAAGTTCCTGATGTTTCTACATCTCTTTGTGCAGGTAGTGGAACAAATTATTCCCTGCCTTTCAAAAGCCAGAGGTGGCTGAGAGCTCTGTCGAGCTGAAATGACATAAAAGGTGCAGTCACACACAGAAACACAAAGAACCGGAGAGGAAGAGAAGGTGCGTTTCAACAATGCTGCCTCATAAATCGGGGAGGCAGATCAAGGCTGCTTCTGCTATCTTGATGAACTTACACTATGGTGAGCTTGCCGGGAACAATAACCTGTTATCTCTTATTTCTCAAAAATGAGAGAGAGAGGGTGAAATAGTTCCCAGTAAGTCAGGTTTCGTTCCCTGTCTTTCTTTTTTTAGCTCTGTTCTGTTTTGCCAAGGCTGGTTCGATGTGACGAGCTGCTGAGTGCTGTACGGTGAATAAAGGGAAGGTTGAAACATTAACTCATAAAAAGCTTTACAATTTCCCATCACGTGTTCTTCAATACAACTAAATACAAGAGCCATGAAAATGAACTGCATGAATGACGTGACCTATTTACCACATTTTAATCTATTGTGCATACAAAATGATGTGTAAATGTTTTATTGCACCTTAAAAATTCATATTCAGTATTCAAAATAGAAAATAAAGTCCTAAATTCTGCAGTCTTATTGTCTCAAGTTCAGAAAATTTAATTATTTCAAAATGTATACCATTATTTCAGTCTTTCAGCACAGTAAACATTTCCTTTCTAATGTCTTGCACCCACTGTATAATAATTATCATCTAGACAAAAAGTTATTATGCACTACTTTTCACATTAAACCACTAAAGCCACCTATATATAGTGAGCTGGGTTTTTTGAAGGCATCATAAAGTCCAGAAATTTTAAACAAATTACATAATTCCAAAAAAAATGCAGAAAGTAAGTTTTGTGAGTAAGGAATAAACAGACAGTGAGCTACAAGTTCACTTGGGTCAAAAAATTGTGGAAACATGAAACCAACATTAAAACAAGTTTATTTCTTCTAATGTTTCTATCAGTGTATTTACACCTATAACTTGGCTATAGTCTGAGTAGCATCTACGCTCAGGTGAGCTCTGAAGAACTCCTGGATCTTCTTCCACAGGTGGACTTCAGCTGCTGCGTGGGACCGGGCCTCACCCCCCCACAGGACTGGTTTACCCGCAAGCCAGTGAAAGCTGGAGGGGCAGTAGGGTCCATAAGGTGGCTCTAGGTAATGTCCTGCTCCAGGGTAGCTCACACTTTCAAAGTTCTCCTTCCCATGATGCTTCAGTCTCTCCACCATCTCATCCATATAAGCCTTAGTGTCCCAGTTGAGGTCGTCCTCTGCGGCTGCAAAGAGGAAACGTCCCTTGGCTTGTTCAATGGGGACCAGGGTGGCCTTGTTCTCCTCTGCCAGGGGATTGTGCAAAACATTCTTGACCATGTTGGCTCCTGACTCAGTGGGAATCATCTTGCTCAAGTCAAACATTAATGCAGGGAGGATTTGGCTTTTCTTATAGTAGAGGGGTAAAGCTGTATTGGCACAGCAGCCATTGATCCACACTGTGGCCTCAACATCTGGCAGGTAAGAGGCGACTGAAAGTGCAACATCTCCCGTTTTTGAAATGGTAAGTACGCCAACTCCTTTACTGCCCACCTGTGGAAAAGAAAAATGCAACGTTAGCTGCTTTTTCATTGTATTTTTTTCTAGTCATTGTGAAGTCACACAGATGAGCTCTTTAACAGATGCATGTGTTTTCCACTTCATCCAATAGACTAGAGACGCTCTTCTCGAGCCAGGCCTGAGAGGAGCTCAACAAAGACGAGCATCAGGCTCTGCGTAAAGGAGCAACGTGGGGCTGCCTGCTTATAAAACTGAGCATGGACCAGAGGCGCAGTGTCAGGAAAGGCAAACCAGGCAAATGCTTGGGCCATCGAAGGGAAAAGGGGCCCCTAATGGCCCCTCATATTGGTATATTTTGCAATGACAACTAGAAACCCCCTTAAACTTCCCAAGGACACTATACAGTGCACTGGTCTCTGGTCTCTGACCATGTTTGCTTTAGCTAGTGACTGCATGTGAGGTATTCAAGGAACAGACCTCTAATACTCTACATGTGAGGCATTTAGGGAACATCTGTAAATTGTAGCCTCTGCTAATAGTCTTTATTTGGGGGGATTCTTGCAGTCTCTGGTTCAGTCCTGGATAGGGCACTGCCTGGGGACTCTACTGTTCTGTTGGCCCACATGGACAATACAAGGGAAATATTTGGGTAATCACTTAAAGAAAGAGTAATGGATACAAGCACACCAAATGAGTTTCTTTCACAGGATGGCTGGGCTCGTTGTGAAGAGCTCAGAACAGCCGGAGCAAGGTCAAAGTAATAACACACTGTAACAGACACAAGCAGATGAAGAAATGTGTCCCCAAAAATCAAAATCAAGATTCTCAAAGATCCAGAAAAATCACCTTGTCTTGTTTTTTTAAAAACTGTATTGCTTCCTCAAAATAATCCAGATGAAGCTCTTTAATGTTACTGGGCATGTCGTCATGGCCGTACGCCACAACAGACAGAACCACAAATCCTCGACTGGCCAGCAGAGAGGCCCTTTTCTCGGACAAAGCTCCTCCTAAAATGTAGAGCTCCAGCACGGCAGGGAACGGACCTCTTCCTGGACCAGAGGACATACGACAAAGCAAAATGACATACAGCTAATATATGATGATGCATTTTAGCCAGTACAATGGCACAGCTTTTGTTAGTTGTTCATAGGAAAACAATGGACTTTGCACAAAGCAGAAACTGTAACCCATGGCTACAGAGACAATATTAGATGGGATAAATTCATTCTTGGTTTGTCTTCTAATAAATTCTATTAATTAAAGTCTAAAAATATGCAACATTAAAGCAAGTAACCGGGGGGAGTAAACAGGACTCCACGAGTATTCCCCTCTCTGACAGGGCGCCGGATGACACCGTCTCCAATCAGAATCCTCTCATTGGTCACTTCTGCCAGCATCCTTCCCTCCCCCTCCTCTTCATGGACAGAGAACCTCACCACATGAGGATTCAGTGAATTCTTTATTTGAAACTTTTTGTGCAGGGTGTCCGGCCTCATCGACCACAGCAGACCCATGGGTTCAACCCCGACGTAGCTCCCGCTGAGTGAGGGGTCACTGACCAGGTCGATCTCCCCGCTCCCATCAGCCCTGTAGGTGGCCGAGGAGCTGAACACCACCCCTCTCTCGTCTGTTGACCTGGCTCTCAGGGCGACCACCTGTCTCGACCTCAGCCCAGACACCTTCACCTGTATGGGCTCGTCGAACAAACATCTGGCGCTCGGCAGCAGCCTCAGTCTGACTTGGAAGGACATCTCTTCTGAAGCTAAAGATCCTCTCTTCACAGCTTTAGACTTTGATCTGTAACAAAGTAAAAAGGACAGTCACTATTTCTGGTCAGTGTGACAGAGCAGACACAAAATCAATCAATCACAAGTGCAACAATTCCACCATGATTAAACTAATTTAAGAAATAGATCACATCACTAATCATGAACTGTCCCTCTGATACACATATTTAAATAGTTTTACTGTATGTTCCCATGCTTTTCAGTAAATAAGTATCTTGACAAGAATATAAACATGTGAACTGGTGACACTGCTTCACTAAAGTGATATAGTGTATTACTGCCATTGCAGTGTTATTGCAGCAGGCTTAAGTGGGTTACATCTGTTGTGTCAATGCATCAGATTCATATTTAATCACAACTCATATCTTACATGTGGCTCAGATTTTGTTTTCAGAATGTAAACATAAGAATACTTCTGAGTATTTTTAAGAGCAAGAAGTAATTGTCTGGTATTTAGGTATTTAGGTGCTTGGTATCCAAAGTGGCTAATGTGAAAGTAAAGGAAGCACGCACATGCAGACACATATGTGTGTGTGTGTGCCCTGTGCACAGATGATGGACAATCAGTTATATGCATCAAAGTCAAGCAAAGCAAATGTCACTGAGTGTTTAACCTCATTGGGCTGTTGCCATTGTCTGAATTCAAGTTTTCCACTTCCAAATATGAAATACCATGACGACACAAGAGAACACGACTTCGCTGGACAATGCTTAACATACTGAGCATATAGCCAGACAGTGGAAAAGTGTAGGCTGTGACAATAGTAAAAAAATGTCCTTGGTACTTTTTATGGTGACAGTTAACTGACTTAAATGACATACATGATCAACACGGCTGATTAATACTGCCAATTGTCATATCATATTGTGTGCAGCAGGTCCAATTTGATTCTATTTAGTTAAGTGTCCTGCTTCATTGTACCACACGGTCTTTCACAAAACCAAATGTTGTTTCTCAAAAAGTGTGTAGATTGAATTTTTGAAATATGAAAATAGAAATTAATGATCACTGAAAAACTCTGCCATCTCCATGGGCCCATGCTCTAGTCTTCTCCACCACTACGTCTGATTTGATAGGTGATTTATATACACGTCCACTAAGTTGATGATTAGTTATAATGTTGATAATGTTGCTGATGCTTTATAATACAGGACATAACTTCATCAAGTCTTTTGCAGCTCTTATGTTTGAAAATCTGTTGAAAACAGTGAAATACAGTATGTGCAAACACAGTCTATACTGGTGACCTATTATATAATATCATAGACCTGTAAATAGGACATTGTATTATACAGTGTAAATAAGTTTTGCTCACAGATAAGATAGTTGGGTCACGGAAGGACAGATGGCAGAAACGTACAGTGGACAGGGCTTAACATGAAGAATTTTCGTGGATAAGAAATGATGTTAACTTACCTGTGAATCTTATTTTCACTCTCATTAATATTTAAAACAAATATCACTGGGAACAAAATGTAAAACGAATTGTTTACAGGAGCGTATGTTCACACACACAGAGTAGTTAGAAGTCCCGGAGGTCTGAGAACAAGCCGACAGGAAGCTGTGGCTGCTTCACAATAAAAGCCTTACAAAGGGTGGGATGTAAAAAGCTTTAATTGCGATCAGCGAAAGGAAGTATCGTGTTCATATCATCATGAACTTAACCCGGAAATACACAGTGGACCTCGAGGAAGCTCAGTTACATAAGCCGAAACAGCAAAGAACGGAAAAAACATTAAAAGCACTTACAGGTGCTTATCTGGAGAGTCTTATACCGCCATCTAGTGGTCAGAGTGACGCTTGACAGGCTCCTGACAGAAACTCATGTCATTGAGAGTGTGGGAGAAAGACAAAGACGCAGACACAGATAGAGATCTGGTGAGAAAAAACATCTCACAAGCATGATTAATTTCACGTACTAGCGCATGGCAGAAATAATAACCGTCTAATTACAGCGGGATACAGCTGAGCGCTGCAATGATTAGTTGATTGATCAGTTCAAAGAAGAGCCCGTGATTTGGTAATGGACTGAAACTACGGTGAAAGGCGAGGCCCCAGACGTTGGCTTAATGTCGATCACCGCCGAAACAAGTAACATGAAGTTGTTTGCTTCACAATAGAAATCTCACAGACGCTGATCCGCAGAAATTTTAATTGTGAAGTACTGACAGCAAGTGTAGTTTTGTATTGATAAACGAAAAACTAGAAAGTATTATATATGTATTATTCATAGAATTTATACATAGTTTTCAGACCCCTTCACTTTTTGCACACGTTGTTTTGTGAATAGGTATTTAGGTACTTGGTATCCAAAGTGGCTAATGTGAAAGTATAGGAGGCACACACATGCAGACACATATACAGTATGTGTGTGTGCCCTGTGCACAGATGATGGACAATCAGTTATGTCATATAGTTGTCATATGCATACTTAATCCATGTCTGTCCTCCCAGACACAAAAGGAAAAGACACTTGTCTATGTGTCCCCTTCAACAGAAGATGACAAGGCAATAAATTAACTGTAGAGCCATAATTCAGAGGGCACTTGGAGAAAGCTCTGGTCAAACTAACACATAAAGAGAGGGAATGAGACTACAGACAAAGAAGTTCATTTATTACATGATAGGAAGTGGAAGTGATGAAGAAAAGGTAGAAATGTGACCTACTTTCAGTAAATGTAGCTGTCCATCATAAAAAAAGAAAATGATTAGTTGCAGGTTTAAAAGTTCCCTCTTTGCTTCACTGTGTCCTGATGATGCAATGGTTTAAGTGTTTAATGTTTAATGTATTTAATCTGAACTGCTGCCACAGCACCGCGTTCTGTTTGGACCTATGAGGAATGTGTGTGTGTGTGTGTGTGTGTGTGTGTGTGTGTGTGTGTGTGTGTGTGTGTGTGAGAGTTCTTTGGCAGGCTGGAAGGACAGTTAGTGTTTTGCCTCTTGCACATTCGTATATGCACCAAAGTCAATCAAAGCAAATGTCACTGAATGTTTAACCTCATTGGGCTGTTGCCATTGTCTGAATTCAAGTTTTCCACTTCCAAATATGAAATACCATGACAACACAAGTGAACATGACTTCACTGGACAATGCTTAACATACTGAGCATATAGCCAGACAGTGGAAAAGTGTATGCTGTGACAGTAACTGTTGCAAATATACTACTAATAATAATAATGATAATAACATATCTAGCCTTAAGTTGCTTTGAGTTCCATCTCTTCCTTAATTGATTAATATTATGTGGCCATTATTTGCAAATGTGTGTAGAGATTGCGAAACTATAGTTTGTATGTGTGTTCTCAGATTTGTGCATGTGTAAAAGAATCTGCAAATATATGCACCCTAAAAACTGAATGTAAATTTACCTATACAGGTACAGGGTCCTTCACACATTTACACAGTCCACACACACACACACACACACACACACACACACACACATGGACTGAGGTTCACAAGTCTGCACACATGTATAATAAAACTATGACAAGCAGCACATCTTGCTTTATCTGACGGCTTGAGTTTGGCATGGACAACCTTGTATTACAAACAGTGATGATATAGACTGAGTTAGGGCTGCAACTAACAACTAGAAAATTCCAGGGAAATTTTGCCACGGGGGCTACTGCCGGGATGAGTACATGATTTATTTCCAGTGTTCAAAAGTCACCCTGATCATATTCTGGTTTTGAGAAATGTCTTGATATAAAAGACTCTGATATAAAACAATGTCACATCCCTCCATCATGTATTATGTGGGAAATATCTCATATTCTGTGTTGTTTTTTTTAATAAAACAAGAGGCAACATGTCTTCAAACTGGCATTTAAAGGGTTAAAATCCTGAAAACTAATAAACATTTGGTAGGTTTGAGCAGAACTGAAGTGGTTTAAGAGATGTATGCAAAAAAAAGCAGAAAAAAATATTGATATATGATGATTTTATAGCATTTTCTTTGTGTGTCCTTTTTTGGACGCGAGGAACCCCAGAGGGTACAAAATGTGTTACCAGTGTATAATAGACCTGTAACAGTAACTGACATTAGATTTTAAAAATATGTCAAAAAAGACACTTTCTTGCAGAAATCCATACCTTCAGCTGTAACACAGCCAAAATGATCAGCAAATCAAAAAAGAAAAGTGAAGAAAATGTCCAAAAAAGGACAGAGGGACCCCTGAGGGTTAATAAATCCCATGAACCGCTATTTAAATTACCACTATTATGTTTTTTTCTGTGCTAAATTTAACATTACTGGGGAGGAGAGCAACGCGACTAGAAGTGACAGCGAGAGAGGGCTAGTAGCTTCTCTCCTCTGTCTCAGCGGAGACTGTCACAACTATAATTATTATACTAATATATAATAATTATAATATATCAATATTTTTTTCTGCTTTTTTTTGCATACATCTCTTAAACCACTTCAGTTCTGCTCAAACCTACCAAATGTTTATTATTTTTTAGGATTTTAACCCTTTAAATGCCAGTTTGAAGACATGTTGCCTCTTGTTTTATTAAAAAAAACAATACAGAATATGAGATATTTCCCACATAATGATGGAGGGATGTGACATTGTTTTATATCAGAGTCTTGGACATGTCAAAGATTAGCAGTAACACTGATTTCATTGCATTAGTAGTTTTTGTGCAGTTTAAGATTTAAATTGTTACTCCCTCTTCGGACCCTCATGGCTCCATCCTTTTTTTCTTACTCTTCTTATTCACTTCTAAATATTATACACCAAAATATGTTCAAAAATTATTTAAAATACTCCACTGTGTAATTTTTTTAATTTATTTAGCACTTAATAAAAAATACAAATTCAAAGAAATGACCAAAAAAAAAAGATCAGTGCAGGGAGAGGCAGAAAGCCCAAACAGGCGTATATTAAGTAATAAAGGAAATATTAAATAATAAAATTTCAAAAAATTATAAAGAAAACTAAGACAAAAGTATTCAAATCTGCCCAAATTCTGGGCAGATTTGAATACAGTTAACTGACTTAAATGACGTACATGATTATCGCGGCTGATTAATTCTGCCAGTTGATTTATCAATAAATTCATAATATCAATATCATAGTGTGCAGCAGGTCTGATTTGATTCTATTTAGTTAGGTTCACAAAACCAAATGTTGTTTCTCAAAAAGTGTGTAGATTGAATTTTTGAAATATGAAAATAGTCATTAATGATCACTGCAAGACTCCTACTCTAGTCTTCTCCACCACTACGTCTGTTTTGATAGGTGATTTATATACATGTGCACTAAATTGATGATTAGTTACAATGTTGATAATGTTGCTGATGCTTTATAATACAGGACATAACTTCATCAAGTCTTTCCACTCTGCCATGTTGCAGCTCTGATGTTTGAAAATCTGTTGAAGACAGTGAAATACAGTATGTGCAAACACTATACTCTATACTGGTGACCTATTATATAATATCATAGACCTATCAGACCCCTTCACTATTTGAACACGTTGTTTTGTGAATGCATAAATCCTTTACAGTGGCTGATTGTAAGAGAAAGTGGACAGCACGATTTTGTGCATTTGTTCTGCTCGTTTTCCTGAGTTCCTGTTTATATATGAACTGCAGACAAATCCATTGGTTACTTACTTACTTTAAAAAAAACAAACACTCAGTGTTACTAACCTGTACTTAAATCCAGTGTAAACCTAAACACTGTTGCAACAGCAGGTGCTGATTGTGAATGGAGCTCTGTGCAACTGTAAACATTGACCGGCAGAGGGCGCTCACAAATCATCGTTTGTCTCAAAACTATCAGTGGGTTTTACAGATCAGAGACCAAGTTACAAAACATCAGAGGTGAAAAATAAGAAAATACATTTATTAGCTCATTTATTAGCAGATATAGGCCTAAGTGTTTACCATGGTATTTACCAAGAATAATAACTCTATAAACAAGTAATCACTGGCAATATAGTAAAATACAATTGAAAAAATGTAATATAATAAAATATCTCTTCATAAGAGAGGTGATTATTGCTGACAAATAGCAAAGCAGTTGTTGTACCATCAATAACTGAAAGCAGGATTTACCAAATACTGGAAGAATTGTGGAATAGTGAGGCTACGCTGACATTCAGTATGTCAAACAATGCCAAACCACACCACCCCACCCCACCACAGTGAGCCACAGTGTTAGGGACTTTTAGTTGTGTCAAAAGAAATTGTGAAATTTTGAAATCAACCAACTTGTTCACATGTTTCTATCAGTGTATTTACACCTATAACTTGGCTTTAGTGTGTGTATCATCACAGCTCAGGTGAGCTCTGAGGAAATCCAAGATCTTCTTCCACAGGTGGACTTCAGCTGCTGCGTGGGACCGGGCCTCACCCCCCCACAGGACTGGTTTACTCGCAGCCCTATTAAAGCTGGAGGGGCAGTAGGGTCCATAAGGTGGCTCTAGGTAATGTCCTGCTCCAGGGTAGCTCACACTTTCAAAGTTCTCCTTCCCATGATGCTTCAGTCTCTCCACCATCTCATCCATATAAGCCTTAGTGTCCCAGTTGAGGTCGTCCTCTGCGGCTGCAAAGAGGAAACGTCCCTTGGCTTGTTCAATGGGGACCAGGGTGGCCTTGTTCTCCTCTGCCAGGGGATTGTGCAAAGCATTCTTGACCAAGTAAGCCCCTGACTCAGTGGGAATCATCTTGCTCAAGTCAAACATTAATGCAGGGAGGATTTGGCTTTTCTTATAGTAGAGAGGTGTGGCCACGTTGGCGCTGCAGCCACTAATCCACACTACAGCCTCAACACTTGGCACAAAAGCAGCAAGTGAAAGTGCAATATCTCCCGCCTTTGATCGAGCAACAACACCAACTCCTTTACTGCCCACCTGTGAAGACGATGTGAGGAAAAATATGATGCTGATGTGATGGAACAGATGTGTTTTGGCTTGTGTGGAGTTCATTGCCTGACTTTTTGTTCAACAGAGTGTTATCAATCTGACATCCAAGCAAGCAAGGACATTGTCTGACTGATTGTCAATTCATTTTCCATAGCCTACATGTAAAACTCATCATAAAGAGGACTTTCACCTGATTTGAGTAGATAAGAGAGGAGGGTTTTTTTACTCACAACAATTATACACATTAGAGGTGATAAAAAAAATTGAATGATTAAGGTGAAACATAATCACAATTTAAAAAGTGGATGAAATGTAGAGGTCTCCTCAAGCATGGGGGCTCAATAATTTACAAGGAAATCTGTATAACCAATATAATTAGTAAATTATATGATAAAGCTGAATAAGAACATGCATTTTAAGCTCCTTTAAAGCAGTATGACTTTGTGCCAATATAACAAAAGCTAGATGCCAGTTGTTATTGTCATACACTGAGGACAAAACATAATTTTTGCCTTGGAAATGCAATATCTCGCGGGCTCCTCAAGGGAATCCCTTCGAATTTTGCACAAATGTCCACTTGGACTCAAGGATGAACTAATTAGACTTTGGTGGTCAAAGGTCAAAGGTCAAGGTAACAGTGACCTCACAAAACACCTTTAGCCATTAACCAAGATTCCACACAGCAATTATTACCAAATTTCACACAAATGGTAATTATTTTATATGACTGGATGAAGAGGGATGTGACCTGAAACTAGTTTTAGTGGCACATAACCACGAGGCGGTAATTTAGTTAGTTTCATTGTATATATCAGTACTAATTAGCAGGTATTGTTGTTTGCGCTCACCTAGCTTGTTAACTAGCTAGTATCCAGCAAATAAATTAGCTGATTAAAAATGGTCATTGAGACCACATGACCTTAACAAAGAAGACTACCCAAGTTGGAGGTAAACAAAGAAACTACTCAAAATGGCCGCTGGACCACCTGGTGTGTGGGGGAGGGAAGGTGTGAGTTTCTAGCTCATGCAATCTAAAGGTACCAGGTTAGAGGGAGGTTAGCTTCATGCAGGTTCTAGAACTGAGACCTACTACAGGTATGTGTGTGAACATACAAGTACTCGATTAACTGTATGGCTAACCACAACCTAAGCAAACATTACAACAACAAGACATTAATCAACATGTACATTAACAAAGTTAAAACTTATGCTGCTTAGATGTGCTGTGTAACGCTGTGCTATAAGAGATTAGGCCCAGTCAGTTAACGTTACCTAGTCCTTGGAACAAAAGAAAAAGAGGTCCTTTCCAGTGTTGTTGAAGTGTCCAGTGAGTTGGGTGGCTTTCTGGTGGAGTAGAGTCCTGTCTGGCTGTGTTGCTTCCGCTGTTCCACGCTAACTCTGCTGTGGCTCCTGTTGCTTGGAAAATCAGCTGGCTGACCTTGTGTTGTAGCCGCTGATTCTGAAGACTTTCAGTTAATCCTAAACAGGTCGATGTTGTTGAGGAGAATGTTGCAGTCTGCCGTGGGCAGGCTGGCAAGAGCGCTGTTGTCTCAGGTAGCAGGGCTGACCTGGGCCTGGGCCTTGGTGCTCCTTGACGAGCCAAGAGGGAAGAGGAGCTGCTCTCCTGAGCAAGCCAAAAAGAGAAGAGAGAAGACAAAAGAAGGAGATCTTGTTTTGTGTGGTGACACCCTGGGGGGTCACATGTCACAAACTGAGTGTGTGTGTGTATTTGTGCGTGTGTGTGTGTGTGTGTGTGGGGGGGGGGGGGGGGGGTTGTCCCCAGGTGTGAATAGTGATGAACTGTGAGGAAATTAGTTCCTTTGTCTGTGGAACAAAGAAACATCCCAACACATATATGTGTGTGTGTGCCCTGTGCACAGGTGATGGACATTCAGTTATGTCGTATAGTTGTCATATGCATACTTAATCCATGTCTGTCCCTTTCAGACATAAAAAGACAAGACACCTGTCTATGTGTCCCCTTCGACAGAAGATTACGATAAATTAACTGTAGAGCCATAATTCAGAGGGCACTTGGAGAAAGCTTTGGCCAAACTAACACATAAAGAGAGGGAAGGAGAACAAAGACAAAATGGTTTGGATGCTTATTTCCACATTCCCATTGATCCCCCTCATCGGAAGTATCTGAGATTCGCTTTTCAGGGGATAGCTTACGAGTTTGTGCTACTGCCATTCGGTCTGTCTTTGAGCCCAAGGATGTTTGTGAAATGCACCGAGGTGGCATGAGCTCCGCTATGGGAGCATGGGGTACAGGTGGCCATGTACATCGACGAGTGGCTGGTGGCTACCGCCACCCGACAGGAGGTGGCTCAACACTCGGAGGCTCTCACACAACACCTAGTGAACCCTGGTTTTCAGATAAATACCGAAAAGAGTAGGATGGAGCCTACTCAGCGCGTTGCTTTCATTGGGCTCATTCTGGACTCTCTCCATGGCATGGCATTTTTATCCCCAAAACGAGTGGAAACCATGCAGCTAGCATTGTTTCACAGGGGCAACGTGGTTACCCTCAAACAATGTCAGAGGTTTTTGGGTCTTGTTGCCTCCTCTGTAGTGGCAATACCAATGGGGCGCCTGTATACAAGAGGCATCCAGCGCTGGGTGGCATCTCTAGGTCACCGACGGGTGAGTATTTCCACAGACTGCTCACTAGTCCTTCACCAGTGGAAGAGCCCAGGTCTCCTGCCTTAGGGCATTCCTATGGGAACCTTCTCGGCCAGGAAAGTGATCACCACAGATGCATCTCTGGTGGGCTGGGGAGCTACACACAAGGGCAGAGCAGTGAATGGGAAATGGAAACCTCACATGCGTTCTACCCATATAAATGGTCTGGAGCTGATGGCTGTTCACTTGGCTCTAAAACATTTCCTCACTTGGCTGAGGGAACATCATGTTCTAGTGAGAACAGACAATTCCACTGTTGTGGCATATATCAACAGGCAAGGGGGGTCTGAGGTCCCCCCAGTTACACACACTGGCACACAGACTGATAGTTTGGAGCAGTGTGCACCTCCAGTCACTGAGAGCAACTCGTGTGCTGGGCAACTATGGAGCGGATCTGCTATCCAGGGGCAACCCACAGTATGCAGACTGGACACTTCACCCCGAGGTGGTGAAACAGTTTCGGCTTCGAGTGGCTGAAGATCCTACTTTATGCTTTTCCCCCAGTAGCTCTCATTCCTCTAACTCTGGCCAGAGTGAGGGAAGGAGGGCTGACCGTGATCCTAGTAGCCTCGCATTGGCCAGGGAAGCACTGCTTGGCAGAGATTTCTCAACTCCTGTCCGGCCTGCCATGGCCATTACCACTATGCGGGGACCTGCTGTCTCAGGCATAGGGGGAAATATTCCAAGCCCAGAGCCTCTCTGTGAGTGGTTCAGTCTGAATGTGGCGTGACTCCCGCACAGTGTTATTAACACTACACAGCATGCCAGAGCCTAATCAACAATATATACATCAACATAAAACAACATGTTTCTATCAGTGTATTTACACCTATGACTTGGCTTTAGTGTGTGTATCATCACTGCTCAGGTGAGCTCTGAAGAAATCCTGGATGTTCTTCCACAGGTGGACTTCAGCTGCTGCGTGGGACCGGGCCTCACCCCCCCACAGGACTGGTTTACCCGCAACCCCATGAAAGCTGGAGGGGCAGTAGGGTCCATAAGGTGGCTCTAGGTAATGTCCTGCTCCAGGGTAGCTCACACTTTCAAAGTTCTCCTTCCCATGATGCTTCAGTCTCTCCACCATCTCATCCATGTAAGCCTTAGTGTCCCAGTTGAGGTCATCCTCTGCGGCTGCAAAGAGGAAACATCCCTTGGCTTGTTCAATGGGGACCAGGGTGGCCTTTTTCTCCTCTGCCAGGGGATTGTGCAAAACATTCTTGACCATGTTGGCTCCTGACTCAGTGGGAATCATCTTGCTCAAGTCAAACATTAATGCAGGGAGGATTTGGCTTTTCTTATAGTAGAGGGGTAAAGCTGTATTGGCACAGCAGCCATTGATCCACACTGTGGCCTCAACATCTGGCAGGTAAGAGGCGATTGAAAGTGCAATATCTTCACTTTTTGAAAGGGATAGCACACCAACTCCTTTACTGCCCACCTGTGGAAAAACATTTAAAATTACCAACTGCAACACTCAGCTTTTTTGAAATGCAGATTTCCTCTTCTGTAAATGAACATGAAGCACTTGCTTGTATGTGTGTGCCTTTTTAAAAGTTCACCTTTTGATTATTAACAGTTTTTCACAGTATGGAGAACGAATGGGAATTTTTCCTTTGTCTTCTTGCAATCATGCTGCAAACACTGCCCAAGCAAACCTTCATTATTTTTTATGTAGGTGTACACTTCCCAATATTAAAAGCACTAAATCATAAAATGGAAGAAGCAGGACCATTGCAATTGTATCGTTCTTTAACCAGCCATTTCAAGGAACTCACCTTGTCTTGTTTTCTTAAATACTCTCTTGCTTCCTCAAAATAATCCAGATGAACCTCTCTGATGTTCCTGGGCATGTCGTCATGGCCGTACAGAGCTACAGTCAGAACCACAAATCCTCGACTTGCCAGCAGAGAGGCCCTTTTCTCAGATAAACCTCCACCAAACATGTACAGATCCAGCACGGCAGGGAACGGACCTCTTCCTGGACCAGAGGACATACGACAAAGCAAAATGACATACAGCTAATATATGATGATGCATTTTAGCCAGTACAATGGCACAGCTTTTGTTAGTTGTTCATAGGAAAACAATGGACTTTGCACAAAGCAGAAACTGTAACCCATGGCTACAGAGACAATATTAGATGGGATAAATTCATTCTTGGTTTGTCTTCTAATAAATTCTATTAATTAAAGTCTAAAAATATGCAACATTAAAGCAAGTAACCGGGGGGAGTAAACAGGACTCCACAAATATTCCCCTCTTTGACCCCATCTCCAATCAGAAACCTCTCATTAGTCGCCTCTGCCAGCATCCTTCCCTCCCCCTCCCCTTCATGAGCTGAACACCACCCATGGTGTGTATTAATGCCCCCTATTTGCTTAATTTTTGTTTTCGATACTCTGCTGTCAGACATGACGTCAGCTTGTATGGCATAAACATGCAATAAAACAGATAACATACATTAGACTTTGGACCTATGGAAAGCTACAACTGGTTGTACAGTAACATCATTTGTCTGACCTGCAGATGTCTTGTTTTTCTATACCAAGTGCTTTATGATGGGGTTGCTGAATGTCTTGCATGGTCTTTGCTCTTTTGTTTGCATGAATAACTGATACCAAACATATAAAAAATTTATCATTGTATTAAGATAAGTCCAACATCTGCAACATGACTCCAGTTTGTTGGTCAGTCGATCAAAGAGTGGTATCGCCTTCTACAGCTGCCATTTTATGCAAGTGAACATTGAGTGTGTGCAAAAAAAATCCATTATACTGATTTATATTCTGATAATTAGTCTAATGCATGGACTCAATAGACCAAAATCCAATGCAGTCCCCTTGTGCTGGTGCAGTACTCCTGTGCTCCTGTAAAAGTGGCAGCTCTGCTCCTAGGACAAAGGCTTATATCTCAATCTAGTGGTCTTAGTGAATAATACCAGGCTGAGAGAACAACAACTAGCACTTCTCCATATACATTACAGTAAATATGCAGGTGTAGCAGTATGATATGCTTCTGTGGCTGATTGCAGGCAAGTCTGCCGCTCTGCACTTTACCTGGCGCCGTAGCCTATCAATGCAGAGGGCGAGAGGGAATAAAAGGGGCCGTGTCCCTCCCACGCTCTCTCACTTCCTGGCTCGAAGGCCCTCCCGCATCCCTGCCTTCCGCTTCCTCCTCTGCTCTCAAGGGTGTGGTCCATCGTGGTTAAGGGGATGGTGGCGATTTTCTTTGTTCGCCATAGGCACTAAAAGGACAAGCAGATGCTCCGGTTAGCACGGAGCAGTGCAGAGCCTCCTCGTCTTTCTCCTCACCGGGAGGGTGCCTGCTGATCGGGACCTGTAGCTAACTGTGGACGTTAAGAAAGTTGCAGGAACACTGCTGCTTCGCCTACCCTCGGTTCGCGGTGGCTGGGTGTTGGGGATTGCTCTGTTGCCCCGCTATATGGACTGTCGGCTGTGAATGTTTTCTGCTTAGCTCGTTGCTTTCTGCTTCACTTAATGCCGCTGCTTCTGCTCGCTTCGGTGAGTGTTTACTGCAGGTTTTGTTTTGCTTTTGGACAATTGTTAGTGTATACTTGCTAATTAATTGTGTTCTCCCTTCCCCCTGTAGTTGCTGAGAGCCGACGGTGGTGGCGGTGTCCTGGGTGGTGGTTTCCCTTCGTGTGCTGTGATCCTGGATTTGGTTGTCTTTGCCCTTCACCTTTTGTTTGTGTGTCACGAGTGGGGTGCCTTTCTTTGTTTTGGACTTCTTCACCCCACATTGTCCCTCACCGTTGGTAAGCCTCAGCCACTGGAGTAGGGTGTTAACCAATAGTTCCGTTTTGAAATACTTTTTTTAAACTTTGAGACCAACATTAAATAAACGTGTTAATTATTTTGTGACCTTGAACCACGTCTCCTGCCCTTCCTTATATTGCTTACCTGCCTCCCTCCCTATTCCATTATATTCATTTACAATTCCTTGAGTGCAATTCCCAGGGTGGCGTTGTCTGTTTTATCCTCAAATTTCATAAGCTAAAATCTGTACCATAACATTGTATGAACCCTCGTATCGCCACACAGGCGGAGATGAAATCGATAAAGATAAATATCAACATGGATAATAACATTGTTGATGTTGAGACGTTAGACTCAGTGACATATTTTAGAAAAGATGTTTATTCAGGAAGAATAAATGAGAGTGAGTGCTGTCTCCAGCAACATGAACTTGTATTTTACTTGAGTAGGCTTCTTCTGTTTTCTGCTCCTTTATACTTCTACTCCTCGACATTATAGGTGGAAATACTTTTTACTCCACTACAATAACAGCTACACTCTCTTTTCAGATTAACACAACCCCGACAACCCTCTCTGTTCTTCCTGCTCTCAAACACAGCAAGCTCCACCCTGTGCTCATATTTCCTGGTTCCCTCCCCTTCAGATCTCCAGTTTGAAGATGGGTGGAACCAACATGTGGTGAAGTGCAAGAGCTGACAGGTCCCGTTCACTGCAGAGACACATGTTGTTCAGATCAGAGCTCAAACTAGTTTCAGTTCTGAGAAAGTGAAACTCAGACAGTCGATGACACTGAGAGGTGACATGGCGCATAAAGGAGTTCAGCTGGACCGGGAATCCATCTCTTGTTCGATCTGTCTGGATCTACTGAAGGATCCGGTGACTATTCCCTGTGGACACAGCTACTGCATGAACTGTATTAAAACCCACTGGGATGAAGGGGATGAGAAGAAAATCCACAGCTGCCCTCAGTGTAGGCAGACCTTCACACCAAGACCTATCCTGGTGAAAAGCACCATGTTAGCAGTTTTAGTGGAGGAGCTGAAGAAGACTGGACTCCAAGCTGCTGCTGCTGATCACTGCTATGCTGGACCTGAAGATGTGGCCTGTGATGTCTGCACTGGGAGAAAACTGAAAGCTGTCAAATCCTGTTTGATGTGTCCAGCCTCTTACTGTGAGAAACATCTGCAACCTCACTATGAAGCAGCTCCGTTAAAGAAACACAAGCTGGTGGAGCCCTCCAAGAAGCTCCAGGAGAACATCTGCTCTCGTCATGATGAGGTGATGAAGATGTTCTGCCGCACTGATCAGCAGTGTATCTGTTATCTCTGCTCTGTGGATGAACATAAAGGCCACGACACAGTCTCAGCTGCAGCAGAAAGGACTGAGAGGCAGAGAGAGCTCCAGCTGAGGCGACAACAAATCCAGCAGAGAATCCAGGACAGAGACAAAGATGTGAAGGTGCTTCAACAGGAGGTGGAGGCTATCAATGGCTCTGCTGATAAAGCAGTGGAGGACAGTGAGAAGATCTTCACTGAGCTGATCCGTCTCATGGAGAAAAGAAGCTCTGATGTGAAGCAGCAGATCAGATCCCAGCAGGAAACTGAAGTGAGTCGAGTCAAAGAGCTTCAGGAGAAGCTGGAGCAGGAGATCACTGAGCTGAAGAGGAAAGACGCTGAGCTGAAGCAGCTCTCACACACAGAGGATCACAACCAGTTTCTACACAACTACCCCTCACTGTCACGACTCAGTGAATCTACAGACTCATCCAGCATCAATATCCGTCCTCTGAGCTACTTTGAGGACGTGACAGCAGCTGTGTCACAGCTCAGAGAGAAACTACAGGACATTCTGACATGGACAAACATCTCACTGACAGTGACTGAAGTGGATGTTTCACTGTCACAACTAGAGCCAAAGACCAGAGCTGAATTCTTAAATTATTCACAGGATATCACACTGGATCCAAACACAGCAAACAGACATTTGTTATTATCTGAGGGAAACAGAAAAGCAACACGTAGTCAACAACAGTCTTATTCTAGTCACCCAGACAGATTCACTTCATATTTTCAGGCCCTGAGTAGAGAGAGTCTGGCTGCACGTTGTTACTGGGAGGTGGAGACGAGAGGAGGAGTTTATGTAGCAGTCGCATACAAGAATATCAGCAGAGCAGGGAGCTTGGATGAATGTATATTTGGAAGCAATGACAAATCTTGGGCATTACACTGTGATCAAAACAGTTATACATTCTTCTACAACAACATCAGAACTCCAGTCTCAGGTCCTCGGTCCTCCAGAGTAGGAGTGTACCTGGATCACAGAGCAGGTGTTCTGTCCTTCTACAGCGTCTCTGAAACCAGGACTCTCCTCCACAGAGTCCAGACCACATTCACTCAGCCTCTCTATGCTGGAGTTCGGCTTTGCTGGAACAATGGAGACACAGCTGAGTTCTGTAAACTCAAATAGACAAAGGATATTTAAATTTCAGTTGGTTAAAATCTGTATTTTAATTCATCAGTTTATTTGAACTTCCATCATCGCTGCTAAAAGCTCATTGCTGTTGTGTTTCTGCACTGCACACAGATCACCTGTCAATCAAACATTATGGGAGGGGCTTTGACCTCTTCTCTTTTATTGTTGTATTGATGTTTGAGTTTCTTTAGGTGGAGCTGGAGCCATGGAGGATATCACTGCTCAGGATGATTTTTCTTCACCTAAACTCACATTTCTCCACATGAAAATATAAACTTCTATTTGCTCTAAATGTTGAATATTTGTATTGATGTATTGAAACAAACTGATTGTGTGGATGAAGTGAATCTCCCCCTGAAATCACTGAACAAGAGTCATTTAACACCAAGCACCAAGCGTCCTAGTGTTTTCTTTCACAAGTCCATGAGCGGTGACTTTAGTGCTTGGAGGAGACTCCAAATACACACCATGTATGAACCAAAGCAAGGTGTTTTTTACCTTCAGTTAAACGGCTTGAGTTTAATTTTGTTATGTAATGACAAAGTAGAAGTAAAACATGACTATAAGCAAGGCGAGTGCATCTCCAGTCCCATCATTCATGTAGGTTTTCTTCAGAGTCAGGTTCCCTCTTCAGGACACTGTGAATGTCTCTCCCCAGTGTCCTCACATGTTTCCACTAAAACAAGTTCATGTGACGTTTCCTGTGTCTCCATCTCATCTGTTTTCCACACACACGCCATCTTCCATTTAAAAACCTCCTTAAAACAGTCCTTTGGCCTTCTTTAAATTCACTTGCTTCCACCCTGGCAGACGTTCATATTCCTCTCTCTTCATGTCCAAAGCTTTCTGTAACAGAGGAGAAAAACAAAGAGTTCATTAATACAAATTTTAAAGAAGAAACAGAGTTGAAATAGTTGATGTGAATGTTTTACAGGAAGGTCCTGATGTTTGAGTGTTGACGTGAGTGTTTATTGGGTAAAAAGTTTTTTAAAGAAACTGTCCGAAAGCTTTACTCAGTGTCCATTTTAATAGCGAATGGACATTGACTATGTGTGAAAACAATACATTGTAATGATTTATATTCTGATGATCAGTCTAATGCATGAACTCAATAAAACAAAATGCAATGCAGGACCAGTGTGCTGCTTCAGTACTCCTGTGCTCCTGTAACAGTGGCAGCTCTGCTCCCAGGACACAGGCTTACATCTCCATCTAGTGGTCTTAGTGAATAATACCAGGCTCCTGCAGAA